AAAAATTTTGTACCTGGGCGAAAACCGGTTACGACAAATATGATAACTAATAAGCGCTATCTTGATCAGTCGTAGCGTTGTCAAAATTCAACCCTCATAAAAAATAAATAAAAATAACGGCCAAACTATTGAAATGTATCAAAACACAGAGATAAACACATCACAAAGACATAATTATTCCTATTAAAAAATTAACAACTGTTGATCGAAAACCAACATCAAAACCGGTACCACTGCCGGCTAAACAAAATCAAAAAGAAAAACTTGATTAGATATATAGAAAATGACATAAATCGTAAAGAAAAAAAAAGGGAGAGGGAGAAATCACTTCGATTTTTTAAGCACTTTTTAACTCTTAATATTTTATTTTTATTCAAAATAGTAGGTAGAAATCATTGGTTGACTAACGATCATTGTTTGTTAATGATATGATATTTTCAAATATATTTAATTAATGGTATGATATATCACATTATTATTTTTTGATAATGTAGCATATGATCAAATCATCACTTTTATTATGTGACATATTCCACATTTTTAATTAACCACTTTTGAAAATTTTAGATCAGCAGCAAGTGTCGATTGTTGGTGAAGAAATGTCACAAAATGACTATTCAAACAAGTACTCAAGGTAAATCTTGACATTATATTTAAAATAAGAAGGGCGAGCTAAACATATAGCCTCCAACAAGAGCTTTTAGTATAAGGGTAAAGATAACTATTCCATCAAATTTTAAGGACAATTTTTAATATTATGCTAATCTAAGTTAAAATAAAATAAAATATGCAAACCCTCACCTTCAAAGTAAAGGGTTATTATGACATTGATAAAGAAAAACTATTCCACAAACCTACTTATTTGAATGTCATTTTTAAGTCCTAAATTTCAAACTCTAAAACATTTAACTTTAAATTTCAGGCACATAATATTAGGGGTGTTCAGATTAATCCGTTACCGTTAAACATAACTATTAATCGATGAAATCGCTACATTTTATAGGTTAATTAACCGAACCGTTAAGATTAAACGGGTTCGGTTAACCAAACTGTTAAAAAATATTTATTAACGGTTACGGTTAATGAATTTTAATAAATGGTTAACCATCGGTTAACCGTTAATAAATTATAATTAATTAATTATATTATTTAGATAATAGAATTAAAAATAAAATCAAAATGATTCCCTATTTTTTAGTTATCATGTTTATCTTATATAAGATCACATTAAATCAAACATAGATAAAAGAAATACATGATTTTAAATTACAAATATAAATATATACACAAGATTTTAAACCATAAAAAAATTATTAAATCTCATAATATATATATATATTTATAAAATAAAGTGTATTTATAAATAAAAAAGATTTTGACAAATATATATGTTTCCATCATTGTAAATTTTATGAAATTTTTAAATTTTGTTATGTTCGAAAAAATTGTAGGTTAACCATATGTTACCCTATAACCGAACCGTTATTGACAATATATAATTAATTAATTATATTAGCAGTTAATTATTTTTTAATGGTTAGGTTATGATTAACAAAATTTAATAACAACTATAATGATTAACCAAACGTTTAGACTAAACGGTACGATTAACTGACCATTAACACCCCTACATAACATTATAACTTTGTTTTGATCTAAACCCTTATAACTAAAAGGTTTAATTTAACGTTTAACTCTTGAATTTATCACTTCCTTTCATATTAGTAAATAATTTATTTTTGTCAAATAATAATAATAATAATAATAATAATGAACACCTACCTTGCTTAGTTTAATCCCGAATATCCGAAAATGCTTGGTTCATACCTCATTTTCAAATTATTATTATTTTAAGCTCTTTTTCTTAATATAACCAATTGAATTTGAATTTAATTCAATTAACATTATTACTGGTAGCATGAACCAACTTACCTTAGTGGTTAAAAGAATCTTTATTGTTTTTAGAGGTTATGAATTTGAGCACCAACGATTTCAGCAGGATGATTGACCGTTCATTTTCAAATGATTGAGAATATTTAGAACATATACTACTTTGTAATCACCTTAATATCAAATATTGTTAATCGACGGGCCGTGACGGTGACACGATAACAAACCCGAGAAGTATGTCATATTAACAACTCATTACTTCCTAATGTTGTACTTAAGAAAACACAAGCACAAGATTGTAAAGACTTCATAAGTTGCGTAGAAAGAAACTGTATGAAAGAATAAAATCTGGTGTAAAAGGAAGTTGAAAAGCAACAGCAGGACAAATAGAAAGTAGTTTGGTTGGATTTATACCATCAAGGTTTTGCTTTACCACATTTTCTTCTACAGTTGTGCTCCTTCAAAACATAATATGCATGCAGTCCAAGCAAGTCCAACAAAATAGACTGGATGATTTCCCTTTTAAAGTACCGGTCACGCAGCTAAGCTCGTCTAAGCAACTACCAGGTGTTCTTGCAGTAGGTGTGCTAGACGGCCTTTGAGTAACTAGAACAGAAAAACAAGTGATCTCTACATTTTTCCTAACAGTGTACAAGTAGCAGATACACCGATGTCTCCCACGCTTTGGGACTGGAAAGTCTGCTCAAACGATCCAAGATTGCTAACAAGGCTATCAAAGAAAATTTCGGCATGCACATATGGAACAAATCAACTTATTCCTCAGTGCTTTGTTCATCAGTTCCAAGTATCAGCAGATACAAAGGTTCCCAGAGAACTCCAGCTGCAGCAGTTTCTAGCAATCTCCCTCAATTTCAAGATTTTCTTACAACTCTAACTTCATATCTAGGAGTCTTAACTGGCAAATATCCATGCAAATTTAACGAATAAGCTCAAATCCAAGCAACCGAAATGGATTCAGAAGTAGAGAAGAGTGCCCATATATGTTTCAAACACAAGCAATGCTCCAGACTAATACTCGTTGTTCATGCTAAGGATACCAGAAGGTACCATCTCATATTGCGCTTTTTGCAGATCTCTCTTCTTTCTTTCCATATAAAAGCAGAATGCATTTGATTCAGCTTATGGATGATCCTCCCAGGCAAGATGAATAATGAACAGAAATGTTGAATACTAAATACACTACAGATTGTAATTAGTTTGATTATGGTAAGACGACATTCATTACTAAAACAAACATGACTTGTATGATGAGAAACACCCCGTAAACAATTTTCATGGTAAAAGGAATAATTTAGCAATGATGCATTTCTCTAAGGAAGCAACAACCAACGGGAAATGCTATCATGTCAAATTCAATTTTCCTTGTGCATATAATTGAACAGACAACATGCTTATTTGACTGGGAAACAAATAATTCTAGGATGTGGAGCGGTGGCCTACGGAAAAGATCTAGTGCTAATTGTATGTATTTTAAGTAATGAATGTTACATTAGTTATTACTTCCGATTAGGGGTCAACAGCTGCTACTTTCTCATGTAAAGTTAGGAGGTAGAACCTTGAGGGAAAACACAGATCTGTTCCTGACAAAGATCTCATTGGACAGCATCGATAGAATCTTTTAACGTCTTTTTCTAGAAATCCAAAAGCAGACTCAGGCTTAAGAGACATGAAATTTCATATTCAAATCAGTGATGCAACACGGGTAAGAGGAATCGTTGTTGTTTCACGACCAACGATAATAATAAGGTGATTGAGTGTTTATTGTCAAATAATTAAAAGTATTCAGAACATATACTACTTTATAATCACCTTAGCTTTGATTTTTACGAATATTTATAAAGGTAGGATCTAGTTATGCATATTGAATTTTTTAATTAAATTGATGATTGAAATTAAAATTGAAAAATATCAAACCGTTAACTAATAATTTGTATTTATTTAATAATTTTAAATTAAATTTATATTATGTAAGTGAATCGGTACATCAAACTGTTTTTCATACCGTCTCATGTAACCTATCAAATCCCTACAACTTCTATATTCCGTGTTTAAAACAAACACACTTGACGCCTTATCAGAAAAGTTGAAGATTATTAACTCGAAAGCACAATCTGAAAAAAAAAAACACCAAAAATCATTACATTTGCTTCAACGTATACAGATAGGTTAGAGAGAAAAGGCCCGACACATAAGGTATCCATGGATTGTATCGTTTCAGCAACAAACAGAAAACAGAGAGAAATCGGAGTCCATGTGCAGTGTTTTTATAATGAAGCGGTGGAGACTTGTGATTTCTCTATACCTTGTGTAGATGGCGTCGTTGATTTGGCGATACATCGTGTAGATAGAGTTGACTCGCCCCATTTTCTTTTGACTGGAAAAAGGAAAGGAAATTCAGTGGAAGTTGGTGGGAGATCTCGCGTTCCCTGCTGGGAAAAAATAACGTGTTCTGGAGATATATTACTTGGATTGCTTACTCATTAAAGCCAAGACAAAGTCTCACCCCGCTACATGAAATTTCATATTTAAATCAGTGATATTACGTGCAACACAAGTATCATGATTTTGACAAATATAAAATAGAATAAATTATGCGTTTAGTATTTAAACAATCAATTTTGATATGTTTTAGTATCTATTTTTTTTTTATTTTTTTTTTCAAAATTATACCTAAAATTTAATTTTTGTTTTATTTTAATATCTACTGCTAAAAATTTTGGTTTTTGTTTTATTTTAATACCCTATTCAAAATTTAACATTAATTTTTGAAAAGATTGAAAGTTTAGATACTAAAACAAATTAAAAAATGACAGTTTAGGTACTAAACCCGCTAAACTTTTAATGATGAGATACTAAAATGACTGAACGTTAGATATGATTTTGAAAAAAATTAAAAATATAAATACTAAAATAGACCAAAATTGAGAGTATAGGTACTAAATACGTAGTTTACCCTATAAAATAATGGGTAAAATTAAAATTAAATAAATAACTTTTTTTTACAAAAATATAAATAATCTCAACCATCAATTTCCACCCATCTAATAATATCAAATTAATTTAAATTAATTTTCATTGTGCACACCATACCCTTATTTAAAAAGAAACCGCCATATTTCTAAGAACTGACAACAAAGAAGATTTAGTCCACTGAAGTTTGAAAATTTCACCACCGATGTATACATACAACAGAGGTGCACTAAACACAAAATCTAATTCTATGGCCATAGCTGATGAAGGAATATTCAGTAGCAACAAGGCAGCTGCAGCAGCAGCAAAGTGGAATAACATCTTGATGACCAGACCACCTCAACTGAATCCGGCAACTACGATACAGAGATTCAAGGACTTAACCGTCAGCTGCAGGTAGGTGCAAAATTCCAGAGAGTAAAGCGGAAGACAATGTTGAAGATAAAATATAAAACGAAAAGTTTCCAAGGAAGATCCGACCAAGTGGTCTAGATACCAAGGTATGCCAGAAGTAGAGAGCATAAACAAGCTGAGCACAAAAGAAAGAACACTTCCTGTCGGCAAATCTTCAAACAGTACTTCAGATTACTGTTCTTGCTCGCTTCTTGTCGTTGTCACTAATAATCTTCCCACATAAAGCATCGTTCTGAACCTTGAGTACCTTATTTTCAAGTTTCAAACTGGCATTCTCTGCCAACAGCTGTGGTACGTTACCATTAAGATTGGCATTCTTCCTTAATGAAGCATTTTCGGCCTTCAGTTTCTCATTTTCGAGCCGCAATGGATCAGCCTAAAATTAAAACAACCGAGTGAAAAAAACTATACCATCATATGCAAGCTTTAAAACGAGCAATACATGTTAGCTTTTACAAAGACACCCAAGCCCACCTACGTGGGTTTGAATCACAGGAACTACTGACTTATGGTGCGAGTGTGTGGCAGAGATTTGCACCTGCCAAGGGTGTGTGAGTTGTACCCAAAAAAAAGGACACACTTTGGTAACAAGCCTTATAACCTTTTTAACAAAAGTCTATTAGCAAAACCCGTAGGAAATCAGTAACAAAACTATTATAGAAGTCTGGAGTCGATAAATAAGAGTTTGTGAAAATCATTCTAAGTTTCTTGGACAGAGTGGTGAGTGTTGGATAAAGATATTTTTCCCATAGAGACGAGTTAAAATCATTCCAAGTTTCTCATATGTTTAGATGATAAAACTACCTCTCTCTACTCATCCAATATGTCTTGGACAACGTATGCAATTAAAAATAAAAAGTTGTAGCAACCATGCATGCTAGTAGCTTAAGCCGCCGATACCCTTTCTCACTATTATGACCAATTAGGACATACCTTATTTTCTTCAAGGCTCAAGCAAATAAAGAAAATAAAAAACTACTACATGTACATGAAGAGCAGAAAGAAAAGAGACATACTAGATACTGTGCAAGTGTTTCCAAAAGAACATTTTGTTTGCTATGGTCATGCTTCAGCTGCAAAAGATCACTCCCCAACTGATCAATCATGGCTGCTTGCTTTGCCAAGGTTTGATTAATGGAAGCATTATCCTCTTTTAGTGACTGATTCTCGACCTTCAAAGAATCATTTTCTCTAGTAAGGTTCTCAAAATCCAATTGCATTTGCACTTTGTGTTGCTGTTTCCAAAGGAAAAAGACACGTCATTCATTATCAAACTATACATATCAATAGGAATAAAAACTCTTTCTATGCATTGGGATTCTGCTTTTAGATCTTTCTTTTTAATTTCTCCCAAACATCTCCAACTCAAATGCTTCTACCTTCTAGCTATCAAGGAACACTTTTTGGCAGCTAAATCGTTGCCACTTGCCAAAAGAAAATAAAAACTGGTAGAAAATGCTTTTCCCAAGGCATATTCTATTGTAGGGTTATATAACAAATAAGTACCTAAAGTATATCATCTTTTTCATTTAAGTACCTAAAGTATTTTTTTGTCAAAATAAATACTAAATTTATTTTTTTGGTCAAAATAGGTACATAAGTATTCAATTTTTTTCAATCCAAGTACTTAAAATATTCTTTAATTAATGTCACGAGTCAACTTTTTTAGAACTTAGATGAAAATGTTTGAATAATTTAGATAACTATTTTGACATAAAATACCTATTTATGATATAAGCCTATATAGTATCTGAAGATACTAATTTTTTACCCACATTACTATTATTATTATTATCATTATTATTATTATTATTATTATTATTATTATTATTATTATTATTATTATTATCATTATTATTATTATTATTAATATATATTAAATATATATAAATAATTAATTACAGGCCAATTACAAATGGACCGGCCCAGTTACAAACAAACTAGAACTGGTCCAGAACAAACCAGAAACCCTAAACATTTGGGGGTTTCAGTTAGGGTTTCCTAACCCTAATCTAGCCGGCCGCCTCATCACAGCCGTTGGATCTAAGAGATCCAACGGTCCAGATTGCCCCAGATGGAAACCCTAGGGTCTGATACCCTAGGGACACGCGGCCGCCGCTGCTATCTCGCCGCCTCCGCCGCTGCCACGTCCCAACCGAAGCCTCCAGAAGCTCCAACGCCAGCCGTCCACGCCATGGCTACGGGGTGAGTCACCACTGGTAGTCCGGTGACTCACCGAGACTCCCTCTTCGGACCAGTTCGATGGCCACACCGGTGGTGGCTATAAAAGCCACCACCCCAACCTGAAAAAAAAGGGAGACAGAGACAGAAAAAAGAAAAAAAGACAGAGACTACACAGGAAATCGAGAGAGATACAAAGAAACTAGATACTAAAAACTACCAACGATCTCAACAATCATAGCAAAGAAACAGAAGAGAAAGAAAAAGGAAGAGAAAGACTTACCGAGGAAGCCAAACGCCGATCTCATCAAAACCTTCGAAAAACCGAAGGTATTCTTTTTAGATTTGCTCCGATTGGGAGCCGTTTAACGGAAAAGAGCATCGGAACCGTCATTAGGACGGTCCGATCTATGTTTAGATATAAAAAAAAATTTTCCGGCCACCGAAGACGGTGGCCGGCGGCGGTGGTTGACGGCGGACGAACGCCGACTGACGGCTGCCGGCCGACTGGCTTCTCTCTGTTCTAGAGAGAAGCGAGAGAAATTTTTTTCTCTCAAAGAAGAGAGAGAGAGGAGAAGTAGAAATGAAGACTGGCCCTTCGGGCCAGCAGGTTTGGACCTTTTATAGTCCTTCCCGAACGACGTCGTTTCGGGAAGGACTATGCGCGTAATTAGACAATAGTTAAACCCCGTCCGCCGTCCTCCTAATTTGTAAACATTACATTTTAGTCACTAAATCGATTTTATAATATTTTTAATTCAGTCTTCGAATTTCAATTTTATTCATTTTAGTACTTTTTATTAAAATAATATATGTAGGATAAATAACAGAATTAATCCCTTAATTTTAATAAATAATATTTTAATCCCTAGTTTATATTTTTAATTTATTTTATTATAATATCCGAATTTTAGATGATTTTATTTTAGTCACTAAATTATTAAATAAGAAAATAACATATTTAATCCCTATAATTTTGATTAATTATGAATTAGATTTTTAATTTTATTTTTACTGTAATTTAGTCAGTTATTTTATATGTTTTCATTTATTTTATTGTTTTTAAATATATTGTTTTAGTAGTATTTTTATTTTATTTTATTATATTGTTAAATATTTTATATATTCATAAATATATATATATAATAAATAGTAATTTTTAAATATTTATTTTTAATATCGAAGAAAAGGACAGTCTTAATACAACTGGATGTCCCATTCTGATATTTTAAAATTAAAAAGTAAACAATATTATTTAAATTAATATTTATCAATATCAAAGAAAAGAGCTCTCTTAAGGCACCTAGAAGTTCTTTTCTGATATTTTTAAATAAATAAATATTTTTTTATATAATTTTGAAATAATAGAATTATAAATTAAATATATTTTTGAATTTTTAAAATTTTAATAATAGAGACAATTTATAATTAAAAAGTACCAATTTTGGGCGTTGTAGGGGTGCTAATCCTTCCCTAAACGTAACCGACCACGAATCCCTTTTTATTATTAAAAAGAACGAATTTTTGGTTATAAACGCAGATCAGTTCATTTTTTTAATTGGTGTTTTCTTAAAACTCTTTAAAAAAATAATTTTTAGGTATTCGACCTACCTGACCCAAAAGGCCGATGGCGACTCCCAAATTATTTTCAAAACCATTTATTCACATCAATTTCCCCGCCAAAGTATAATATTTCGTGCCCGGACGAAAACCGGTTACGACAGCTTGGCGACTCCGCTGGGGACCGGTCAAACTTTTAAAAATCAAATTATAAATTGTCTCTATTAATTAAAAATTAAAAGTTAATATATTTAATTTTTAATTCTTTCTTTTCAAAATTTTTATATTTACTTATTATTTTCATAATATTTATATGTTTTATTTTATTTGTAAGTATTTTATTTCATTATTTATTTTTGTCAAAGGTATGAACATTTCTCCTCACACACAACACTTGCATTGCATAACATAAAACTCTATAATTGAGTTGTCCCTTTTAAGTGGGAGTGAAAGCGACGTCTTCGTGAGAATTTATTCTCCGTGTCAGACCTAGCAAGTAACTTTCGGGGTTCATATGCTCTATGTCTTCGTGAGAATTTATTCTCCGTGTCAGATATAGAGAAATGTATCCCCTCGAATTGAACTCGATCCACTTTAGTCTGTGATGGACTAGGATTGAGGGTTAGCAACCCAAGGGGGCACTAACAAGGACAATTCGGGTACCTTGATTCTTAGATCTGAAACCCTGCATATAAAGAACCTTAGAAACTCTTCCGATCAGAAGTCATGCCGAAATTTTGTCCAAATAGGTTACACACAGGAGAAATGAATTCTGACTTTCTTGTTAATTTATTTATTAATTAAATTACATGTTTATTTAAATTATTTAAATTTAGAAAAGCATGTTTAAATAAAGAATATTATGTAAATGTTATTATTAAATTTCTTTATTATGTAAACTACTTTATTTTCTTTTGTGTGTTCTTTATTTTCTGTTTGCATTGCATCATACAGGATAAAAGACATTGATCCTTGTGTTAATTGTCTCATTGGAAAGCCTTCATCTATGGATAAAAAGTGTTCAAATCAAGTAATTCTAAACTCAGAAGTAAGACAGTGGGCTGAGGACTTACAAAGACGAGAAGGAGACAGCCTGCAGGATGATTATGTATCTGACTTGGCCAGTTATGCTCCAGTTTCACTAAAAAGAAATGATATGCAAGATTTGCGAAGCATTTGGAAAGTTGGGATTCAAACAAAAAATTGCAGTTTTATCAGACTTACGGAGACATCCCATATTTGCTCTATGTAGAAGTTGATGATGAATTACTCAGAGCCCTAATTCAATCCTGGAATCCAGGGTACAATTGCTTCACTCTCAATAAAGAGGATTTGGTCCATACTATTGAAGAATACACAACTTTGCTACATATAGATGGGGTTTTGGAGAATCGAATCTATTCAAAGTCAATTAAAACTCAACCCTTTCGAGTTAAATTAGCAAAGATTGCTGGGGTACGAGAAGAATGGGTGGCATCCCGTACAAAACAAAAAGGCGAAAGCGAAGGCATTGCTTGGACCAACATTAGAGAACTTATTCAGAGCCATCCAGATATTAAAGTACGATTCGATTTATTTGCTCTGGGTATGTATGGTATCGTCATTTTCCCAAAAATATTGGGATATGTTGAAGCTGCAGTGGTAGATTTGTTTGAACAGCTACCGAAAAAGATTAATCCTGCTTCTGCAATCCTAGCAGAGACCTTCAGATCGTTAAATGCTTGTAAAAGGTTAGGAGGTGGACGATTCTCAGGGTACCCAGTTGTTATATGTTTGGATCCGTAGTCATTTCTGGAGGACAGAAAAGGTTTCATACCGACGCTTTAATACGGATTACTCACCATTAAAAGAATTTCTGGAGCAGGAATGGCCGAAAGAAATTAAGAAAGATATGTGGATTAATGCCTTTCGAAATCTACAAAGCAATGACGTGACTTGGCGAGCCCCGTGGCAAATCCAAAGGGAATTCTTTTACAGATGTGGAAATTACAACTGGATAATGTTGCTCGGATTATGGGGAGGAATTGGATATGCACCACTTCTGGTCATAAGACAGTATGAAGGTCGTTAATTTGTACCTGTCACTGCTGGGTTACAGTCATCTGAATTCGCATTCCACAGCAAAAATTATAAAAGAAGTATCATGGAAGCCGTTACAGCTTGGAAAACAACTTTTTGTATCCGAGATAAAGCAGCAAAAGAAATGCTAACTCCTGATTATGAAGAATGGAGATCTGTTAGGAAAAACGAAAATATTCCTTTACCAGATCAAAATTAGGATATCTCTATGGAAGATCGCATTAAGGTGGTTCCGTCAGAGATTGAAATCTTGAGAGCTGAGTTTGAAGCAGAAAGAGAAGGCTGGTCGAAAGAATTAGAGCAAATGAGACAAGATAAAGCTATGTTGGGGGTTGACATTGAATTTCATTCATCACAATGTGCAATGTTGAGAAAAGATAAAGAAAAAGGTGAGGATGAGTATAGAGCCTTACAGAAAAATTA